TTAGCAAATTCCGTCGCAGTCACAGTGTCCTTAAACTGAAGTAGCACAAGACAACTCTGGTGCTAGCCATTTGAGCGTAAGAAGTCACATTTATTATTCTTTGCACCAGTTCCTCTGGAATGAAACGCAAAGGAGGAGGCAAGTGGGCTATAGGATCAGCAGGCTTTTCGGAGCATATTTTCCATGTCTTCCGTTTCACACTTGATGTAAACGGCTACAGTGACGTTACGAGACAACGTGCTGGAGCACGCTGGTATGGATGGCAACATGGAGTAGTGCCAGGAGATAATGCAGTAGAAATTTTGGCGTATATATATATATATGAATAGAACCGCGGACTTTCAAACTCCTTATATACCCGATAGATGCCCAATATATGCATCCGTTATTTCTGCAATTTCTTCACATGACCAGATAAGTTCATCGCTAAGTCAACTGCAGTGTATCCTTGATACATCAACCCCTCCTTTCACATGGCATACCGGCGACTGCGGACAACACACTATCCCTACCCTCAAGGTTATTAGCAATGAACTCCTTCCCAATTCTCCCACACATATTTACCGCTCAAATAATTCGCGATTACAATGAGTCACACAACAGTGACGCGAACATTGATTCCTTCATTTATGGTGTGTTTTCATTACTTTTGATTAACGCCAGATGGATTATCAACAAACGGTATTTCCTAAGCATGCTTGCACATTTAAACGAGCTGTAAGCCATCCTCGTTACCGAAACGTGGTACTCCGCTGATATATTAGACTGTAATCTAAATACCCTCCTTTTAACACCTTTTTCGTAAAGATCGCTGTAAACACAAAGGTGGAAGATGCTTCATGTAACTCCATCACACGTGTACAGCTGAACGGTTTCAACATTCACCACTGGAAAATCTCCCTGACACTCTGGTTCTTCGTCTCAGGAGCCTCGGTTTACTTGCATGTGTCAGCAACTCGTCAAATTCATCAACCACGGATGTTGTCCGTATCACCTCAGCCGTCGATTTTACATCGGAATTGACACACAAACAAACTATAATTGTAGGCGATTTTAACATACTGAAGATACACTGGTCTTCCCAGACCTTCTTGTCTATACACAGTGCCTCCATTTAATCAGTCAGAGTTGGTTGGACACAGTGGGTTGCTATATCAACTAGGTTGACGAACACATCAGATATGATGTTTACATTGGGTATGGCCAACGTACAGAGAAACGTTTCAGAGAACATTCCTGGTATCGGCGGCAACATTCTACTCTTAACCTTCACCGTTAAGATAGCCACCGAACAGGTACCTCCTTCCAAATATACCAGCCGCAGTATTAACTGGGAACCCTTCCGTCAAATAATCCGGTACTGCGATTGGGATGCCTTAGAAATTATTGAGAACACCTGTAGCTCGGGGTGTGGATGAGAGGATTGTCCTGTTCTCCGAGCCGGGCATTTCTGTTGCAGACTCCGCGAAGCAGGACTGAATAGCCGCATTGAAGATGTTGACTAGTTTGGTAACGAAACGTCTGCAACAGAAATGCCCGGCTCGGAGAACAGGACAATCCTCTCATTGGGATGCCTTCTTTCTCTCCAACGATGCACGCAAACCGTGGAGGACTTCTATCATTAGGTTCAGTAAGCCCTGACCACCGTTGCTGCACAAGCAAAACGAATCAGTGACGTTTAAAAAGATGCAGCCGAACGTTCGAGGAAGCAGAAATCCAGCAAACCGATCGCACTCTAAAAAAGGATAAGATATTTTACAATGCTTCCACAGATGCACCAACTTATCTCTGAAATCAACCACTTACGATTGGTGGGGAGAACGCATGAAGATCAAGCAACCCTACGAAGGACATGTAAAGCAAAAGAGCTGATCAGATTTCACCATTGAAGAACCAACAAAAGCTTTTCATTGCTCACCGCACTGGTGGACGACATCCAGGCTCAATCTGTGAAGCACTTAGCTCGTTCTTCTCCACCTACATGAATCTTGACACTAACGCTATGATTACACCAAGTCTCCATCTAACGTGTTATTGCTCTCCGCAATACCTACCAAGCAACACATTCTCTTCAAGCGTACTCAATTCTGAAAGCTGATGGCATCCCCCCATCCGCCATGAAACTGGGAGGGCCTAATACGTCACTGTTCTTTTTGTATGTTTGCCGTTTCACTGGGATCCAAATACTTGGCAGATCAATGAAAAACTTCATTTGTCAGCTATCGCCACAGGGGCTGCGCAACACAGCAGATTGACGATTACAGACCAAGCCATGACACTCCTATAATAGCCGGATTATTCGGGAAATTGAGAAAAAGTGTGAGGAAATTCATCAACTCACTGGAGCTGATGGACAGGTCCTACAATGGTTTCCTTGACTAACGATCGTACACATTCTGGTAGCTGCATTACCTGAACTATATACCGGACTCCATTGACTCAAAATACACGATATTCATTCTATGATTGAACATGCGGAAGACATGCGATCGGGTACCTCACAAACGGTTACCGATTCAGATAGATTTATTTGAAGTCCGGAACCCATTAATGGGTTGGCTATCATCATACATGAACGGTCCCACTAAAATACTCACCTTAGGCGATTATTGCTCTTCCCCGCGTCCAATTACCAGCGAGGTTAAACAAGGAGGTGCGCTCGGTACATTAATTTCCCTTCTTCGTGTCAAGGATAGCAGTTCGGTTAACAAACATGGCGTGCCGTTTTTATTTGTTGAGGATATAGAATTTGTCCACAAGTACCGACTAGTTGAGCTTCTGAATGTACTAGCACTCATTCAAGAATACATTCATTCGCTTGAGACTTTGTGCGACACGGGGATGATGACGTTTTAAACACAACAGTCAAGTATCATATGTCGCAGTCGCTTGACACCCGAAGTATCTATTACACGTAACAGCGAACGCATCTGTGTACAACGGTCTACCCGTGACCTTGGAATCAGATATTCTTGCACCTACATTTTCTTAGAACAGATTGAGTACCAGATGGCACGAGCCAGACAATCCTTCGCTAACATCTCTCATAACATGCTTACAAGCATAGCTAAGTAAACTATTTGAAATCCTTAATTGACCCATCTTGGAGTATAGGAGCATAATCTGAGGCAATATGAGGAAAGTAGACAGGACATTGATAGAAGGGCTACAACGGTCATTTACTAAGCATGTATTGGGAAAAGATTCTATCAAACTCTCTGGAGCGATGTCAGCAACTCCATCTCGATCCGCTTTGGCTGCGAAGACCAAAAGATAACTTGAGACTGCTGCACAATCTGATGCATGGTAATACTCATTGCAATCGATACACCTTAACATTGAAGCCCAATTACACGCGTGAACTAGGCAACAGAGACCTTACCTTGATTATACCACGATGCAGGATAAAATTGTGGTTTAACTTTCGTCGTACCATATATGCTTCACTGTGGAATCGGCTGCCATTCACCATCATGTCGTGTGAGACTGTGCAATCTTTTCGCAGTAATTTTGGTAGCTACCTCCACCTGGATACCATTATGGCACTTTTGTGGGGAAGGTCATTTGAACATACATTCAATGCAAGCGCAGCTAAGGTCTAATGGGTCTAATACTACCACTTCACGCAATGTAATTTGTCCTCAGTGTCTACAACCTACTCAAACTGCAAATTTGCGTCCTACCATCGCATAAGACAAACATATGGGGCCAATATCTTGCCAGCTATGCAGACAAATATAAGAAGATAACTTGACGTTGCTCTTGCAAGAGCATGATATCAGCTGTGCGTGGTGTTCTGTACCAAATGTTGTCACAGCTTTTCATTTGATGAGAGATATGCCCAGTTCGATTGTTATTATTTTTTATTATAATTTTTTATTATTATGATTAGCTTCATGCGGTGTATTATTTCGACCATAGGCAATACTATCCTGGAGCCTAAATGTGTCAGTGGTGCTGTGAACCTTGTACCGATCACATATTGTGCGCTCGATAAGTTACGGACTTCTCGGACACGAGCTGGAACTTTGGCACAGGGACACCGGCTACCGACCGGGTCAGAATACGAACCAATGGTAACACTTTACGACAAAAGATCTATTAATGTGGTGCTGAGGGAGAACGTTCTAACATCTCATCCTAGTTTGACCAGCTGCAGTCAAGCGTATTGTTAGTGACCTCTGCCTTTCTATAATCCCAACTGTTCAACCTACTCGGGAGCATACTTTTCCTCCATGGTCGCATACATTTAGCCCTGTACTTACATCCAGGGTCCCGTTGGCTAATTTTCTATAACCGATGAGAGTGTCACTGATAGTGTGTGTATATAAGCCCTCAGGGAGAGAATAAATTGATGCGCGAGTGAACTTGAATGAACAACACTTTAGTTTGATTTTTTACAAGCCAACTTATTAGCATTATTCGTGGAGTTGCCTATAAAGAGGTATATCTAGTACCACATACAGCTAAATATACACATACCCACGTTTCCAGTATGCTACTGGTTAGCTTACGACATTTTGTACAATTGCCTACCATATGTGTTTCGACTATAATAATTTTGCCTTTGCAGGTGTGCTTCGAACTGGCGGAAATAAAACATCTTATGTTTATTAAGAATTTAGGCCGCATAAACCCTGAAGCCTTCTCACTGTACAATCGATCGCTCATGCTTATGGGGCCGTGTACCGCTTGTCGTTAAATGTACAACTTTATTTATTTATTTATTATTTTCGACCTCAGCGTACGTACGTTCTTCGTACACTGTTACTGATATGAGAAGACAGTCTGAGTATATTTGACTCAATGTGCACTGGAATACCCTGGAGAATGCAAGTGATAAAAGCGCTGATCCTTATCATTATAAATGAGCCCATGAATGTTTACTTGTGGCCTAATGAGTGAAACACGCACCAGAGCATCTAATTGACCTACGGCATATTTGGCCCAAACCCAATGGTAAGCTCCCGACTTTAGTTTTCATGAGTAAAATAACTAACCCCGTTTTAGGCGCAGGATCTTCATGAGCAGTGACGAGAATAGGAGCCGTTGCATGATCATTTGCAGTGTCCAATCTCTCGGCGTCTAACCAACTGATTTCGTGACGTTTGCAAATGTTCCGCAGCCGCTGTTCCATCCAACTCAACTCTTGCGTTAGTAGTCGAGCCTCGCCATCCTCCATGCTACCGAGTTCCATGCGATGTAGGCTATTGCGTCTCGGGGGCACTGCAGGTGGTTTCTCCTCAGAGTCCTCAGTGAGCAGAGAGTTGGACACCAAATCCATAGCATTCGAAGGACGGACTGTAGCCTCGGTAGTGTCCGCGTGAATAACCTCCATGGCCGACTTACGTACGATCGCAAATTGCTGGTACAGATAAGCGATCCTCTCCTAAAATGGTCAGCAGAATAGTAAGTGCAGCTAGAAAAGAAAAAAAATGTTTGAACAACCTAAACGAAATTTACTACAATGGAGGCAAGGCGGTTGCATGGATGACCGTTTGGAGCTCTGCGGCTCTTCTGCGGTGCTCCTTCTCTCGATCCGTTGAGAGACTGGAGATAGCAACCGGACACCGGGAGCAGTGGATGAAACTTCCGGACCAAGATGGGAGCGTTTAGTTCTCGTGAATAACAGGATATTTTTGATAACACGTGGCCCGTCCTGCACTGCCACACATGTGAATGCATCGGAAGATAGAGTCAAACGTAGTGCACCGTTATCACCAAGTGGAGTTGTTAATCATGAACAGAATAGGCAAATCACTGTAAAAACGGGGCTAGTTAGGGGATTATATGTTTCAAATGGAATCTACCCTAACTGGACACAGCCGGAGGAATCCCCAACATAAACGAAGCACTAGGTGGTAGTTCTGGATGATGAGGACCGATTGCATGAATCCGACTTAGTGGAATACGACTCCTATGAATGCGAGAAATTCTCCCCTAGTAGAAAATTTTATTCAGCGGATGCTGTGGCTGGGCTGCGTTCATCTACTTGAAAAAGCGCTTTGTCCACATCAAGAGTCCCGCCTGATTTACTGCTTCATAGTAGTTCATTTCGGGGCTGAAGTGCATGCAACTCAGAAAACAGTAAGCAGTAAAATCTTTTGATGGATACCAAGGAGAACAGGTATAACTTGTCGAACTGAGCGGAGTTCTCGAACACCAAAGATCGCTGACATTTGTTTTGATGTGAAAAGGTACCACAGGATTGCAGGTACCTGCCAGTCGATGCGGTAAGTAGGCAACGATGTTATTCATGGTTTGTGTGGAAGTCAACAGTCACCTCCATGCACAACATTGGCGCAATGACTACATCACAAGCCTCGTTTGAAATAGTCAGTGCAGCAAGGCGAACGTTAGCATAGTAGAGGGATCAACGAATAAAAATGGATTTTTGGTCTAAACGTAGGCTACGAGGTATTTCTAAGTGCCACACTTGTCAGTGCATGGAGGTCATTAAGGACCACGATGTTCAAAAAGTTACGAGGGTTAAGATGTTACAATGACAGGGAGTATCAGTGGAAAGAACTGATGCCAGTGGGTTAAATGACAAGGACAGTGTCGAAGCGGAACTTAACTGGTGTAGCCGCTATGGAGGAAAGTTTCTTTGTAATAAGATGCACATCTTCAAAAGACGAGATTTTGCTTGCAGATGTCAGGTACAACATCGGTTCTCATTGTTGAAACAAAAATTGCTAGGTGGCCAACTATACAAGTTCTCTAGGTAGCTGCACCATCTCTGGTGAGCAAGTCAATGGAGATGGCACCGGGTATATCACCATGTCACGTATAGCTTCTAAAGCTCAATCCCCATGCAACTGATGAGGTATCTGCTCATCGATCAAGGAAAACGTGCACATTGTAGTCATGTGGCTAGCGTGATGGAAACCATGCGTTGAAAACATCAGGAGAATGCCCACATACGAATGCCTGCGGCTGCAGAGCCTTACTTATACTTGATGGAAGCAATGAGCGCGCATTCCAGCCTGTGGTTCCAGGCAAACAATATGGCGTCGCACTGAAAACAACCCGCTGCCATCCACTGAGGATTTTCCATGCCTGCCAACTGTATCACCCGGACTGTGTGGTTTTTGGTTGAGGTGCTTGGCAGCATGAAATTCCAGAACGGGTCTCCAACAACATGGAAGGGAACAGAGAGACTAAAAAGCATGCGCGTGTTGAGACGCGCTGTCACTTTGTGGAGGTAATCTGGGCGACCACCTTATGTTTGCAACGCTGATCCAACACAGCGGATCGGAGAGGTCCAAGGAGCTTCTGCATTCTGCTCCCCCCTTCAGACGCAATACATGATAAAATTCCTACATTTTCTATCTTATTGTTTTATTTTCTGCTCTCTCAATCTGCGGGCTACGTTCTGATCGTTTTCTTTCACAGTTTTATCGTTCCGTTAATACGGAGACATTGGATGGCACATGGATTTGTGCCGAATCAGTACCCGGATAAGAGTTGATGAGCTGAGGCTAATTGAAACAGCGTGCGTCATTCCTAGATAGTGGTCTGTCCCATCAACTAAGTCGCAAGTAGTCCAAGATATTGAAGTAAGATGCAATGGCGCGTTAAGTATTGGAGTGCCTTCAATCCAGCCGGATAATTAGGATGACGTTTTGCATGGGGTATGGGCGGGAATCCTTCAGTGTGACACTGTAGTACAACTTCAACACGCTTTAGTCCTGACAAAGTATTCTCAGCCTTAACAGTGAAGACAGCTAGGAGAACAAAACAACCCTCATTAAATTTGGCGGTGGCGGAAAACGCTGCCATGGTAAATGTAGGCGTACGGGTTGAGTACTTGACTCATGACACCAATTAAAGGTAAATTTTAGTAGACAAAAGACTAGACTATTAAGCAACTTCATTTGGAGACATTTGTGGAGTTGCGTGATCCATAAACGTATTCCGCGACCGGTTTTTTCTTCATTGATATGGGTTTGGAAACTGGGAAACGGTAATCGATCTAAAGGTGAATCGCTATCCAAATTGAAATTGCGTATCACAAACTAACCACGTGGCTTAAGCTCTAAACTACAACGTAGCTCAACTTATTCATTGATAGGAAATGCGATCAAGTAAAGGAGTAAAGAGAAATCTTCAACACAAAGTAAGTAATTAAGCAATTAAGTTTTTAACATACCAATTTTAAGCCCGTGGGTGTTGGTATGTGGTGAAAAAAGGCTCAAAATGGAAGAGCTCTTAAAGTGATCTCTCTGCTACTTGCAGCTGTGACGGATCGGAACGACGCCGCATGAGTTAGCTCGCTCAATGGAAGCCTATTGGTGAAAACGCATAGACAACTAGGTTGCCTATGACCACTTGGTCTTTGCATCACTAGCATCGCATGTGGTGGTAGACGGCAGGTAAGGTGAAATGAGCGGGTAAGGAGCCGCTAGACGGTCAGTCAATCAGATGCACGTGACCATAACTGTGCAGGCTAGATGGATGGTCCAAATTTGGTTCTGCCTAGCGTGACAGCGGCGCAATGTTGTCAAGACCAAAAAGGAATGAAATGATGTGAGGGAACGAACGGAGAGGGAACAAAAGCAAATGCAGAACAGTTGAGCACTGTGAGCCTCTGTGCAATGTATATGACAATACAGGTCACAAGTAAAAGCTTGTAGACACTTGTGCGGGCTGCTCTTATTTTGGATGGCCGACAACATTCTGGATGGCGGTGTATCGCTTAAGCCCATTGCGAGCATGCAACTTGCTAATGCCTATTCACTGAGACAACTCATAAATCGAGGCGGTTGCGCGGCATGTTCGAGTCTAATCGGGATGTTTCAGTGTTCACTCATTATTTTCCGTTAGAGAGTAAGGTGTGCACCTGCTGCATAAAGAAAAGCCTTGGATAAAAACTATCCAATTATTCAGGTCTTTAAGTGCTTGTCGAGTTCGGTAAACGTAATGCAATCCAACCCAGTGTATCGGTAATTCGAGTATTTATAAACTATCCTTTTGTCTAATTCAATTTCCCGCACATAACTGGCCTCTGCGGTTTAATTCAGTTACACGGTTTTATATAATTTTGTACTACAGAAATGATGGCCAAATTCACCTCAGTCAAACGCCCAAAGAGAGAATCTCGGGCATGTACACATTTTTCTTCGTAACAGTTCTCCACTTCTGGCCGCAGTTCAATCAGTACTCCTAATTTGGTCCAAAGAATCAAACGAACAATGTGCCTTGTGAGGACTTTGGGAATTGTCAAGCTGGCTGGAAAAGCGAAATCCGTCTTACAAAACCCCAGATATGGTCTTTACTCGCTACTACAAATGTGCTACATCACAAATTCGACACGCCTTGATTTGCTTGGTTTCTGCACGATTACCCCGTGATCAAGCATCGTAACAGCACGGTGTTCCAAGGAGACCAATCAGCTCCTTTCGGTTGGCTTACGTAATACAGGAAAATGATAACGGACGAAAATTTGCCAGTTTTGCATGCTGAGGTAACGTCCCGTGGTAAACAACTTATTCCTCTTTTAGCTGGAGGCTACTGGTAAAATGTGTTATGCGCGATCAGTCAATGGATACCATCGCAATGAGATTGGACTTAATATAGGTTAACAGTTTGCGTACCTCCGTGATCCATTGAGCTACGCTGGGTGACGGTTTCCAATTGCTTTCAGAGCCACTCATACCAGATAGGTCAATGGTTAAGGGTCAGACTAATTCTGTTTCACAATCCAATCCTCTTCGGTGGCTACCTTTATTTTATAACTAACCATGTGATACAAGTTTACGGGTTATAAGCTCACAGCTGGATTGCCGTATAGCAGGAGCGTCACGCCTTCTCTCTGACGGTGGGAGGGCACCACACGGTGCTCAATGCTCTACTACCGCTCGCCTCAAGCTAGACAGCCCTTGGTCAAATTGGTGCAAATCCGCCAACTCACATCTGCGGCTGACCGTGGTCACGACGGCCAAGTGTCGTGCTCATCTTCAAGAAGATCAGCGCACTTGGTGCGAAAAGCATCAAGGCATTGGCCTTTTTACATTGTCTCCAAACTTCTCAATGGTATTAATCTTCGACGACTTAGTGGTCACGTGAGAACCAAGTCACTGGTCGTGATTGTATCGACCACATATTTAATTTGCGCCAATGTTTACAACAGAAAAACAGACTGACGACTGATTATGGTGGGTTTTGTTAGGAGAGACACCTTCTAACGAATGGAGTAGTGAACCCAAATGATGTGCATGGCTGGACGCTAAACACTTGCGTCCGTCTGCTGTAATTACTGATTGATAAGTTGGATTCCGTGTTCATGTGACCTCTAGTGTCTCGCTCGTCCTGTTGCGGTATTGTTGAGACTGACTGTACGCAAAGAACCACCTTAGTACACAGCTCCGTTTTTCTGTTTTCTTCCGG